TATGTTCTTAGTACGCTTGTTTTCATAGCGAGGCTCACACGCCAAATGAAGGTGACAGGTTCGATTTCCGGCGTGGCTTTTGATTTTTATGTAGCCAACTGTGTCCTTCTATCTTTATACTTCTTTCTATGAGTGCCGGTCAATACATTGTCACTTTATTAATTATATATCTATTATATTGATAGCAACAAGTCAGAAAGAACTAGAGGAAATGATAGACATTGTGGTTTTAGAAAGTGGAAGAATGGGCCTTAGTTTGAATAATGGGAAGACAGAAGTAATGGTGGTATCAAAGAAACGAATTATTCCTAACTGTGTAATAAAAGTCGATGGTGTTATTTTAGGACAAGTACATCAATTTAAGTATCTGGGCACATGGATAACATCAGAAGGAAGATGCATAACTGAGATAAAAAAACAGAATAGGACAAAAACTGCTTTTTATAAAATAAAGAATATCTTGTGTAATGTATCCTTGTCATTGAGAGTTAGAAAAAGAATTCTTGCTTGCTACATACATCCAGTTTTAACATATGGCTGTAAATCCTGGGCAGTCGGTAGGCAGGCCAAACAATTTCTTGAGGCCTCAGAGATGTGGTTTTACAGAAGAATACTTAGAATACATTAGACAGTAAAAAAAAAGCAACCAAGAGGTTTTGAAAGAGACGGGAGCCCAAAGACAACTTATCACAGACATCAGAAGGAGACAGTCATCATTTTTTCGGCCATGTTATGAGAAAAGGGAAAATAGAACATGTTGTGACCACTGGAAAGATCTGTGGAAGGAGGGATAGAGGAAGACAACGAGAGAAGATGCTTGACAGTCTTGTTGCATGGCATGGAGGTGTGTCGGCACACGGACTGGTACATGTTGGATTATGGAGCGGTATAATCGCCCACCCCAGTCGGCAAGGCACCTGATGATGATGATGAATATTGATACGTCTTCAAGGGTTTATTTATTTTTACATGTCTTTTTTCCCTTCATTCTGTCATTTCCCGTCTGTCTTGCATTATTTCTCCTGTTTTTCATCTTTTGCTTTCGTTGCATTATTCCTTTCTCTATCTTTCTCTCCAAGAATATCCGACTTTGTTTGCCTGTTCCCACTGGCGCTTTCGGTTTAACGTTGTAAACCTCATCGTTCCCTTATTTTTCTTCAATCTTCCTGTCTTATTCCAACTCTTCCTAAATCTAAACCCTCTCTGTTTGAACACTCTCATTCTTCAATGTCTATTTCTGTCATCCTTTAGTTTGTGTCTATCCTAATTGTTTGTGTCTCTCTTATTATTTTTCTCCCTTTCTTCTTCGCACTCCCTCCCTCCCCTCTCTCTCTCTTTCTCTCTCTTTCTCTCTCTCTCTCTCTCTCTCTCTCTCTCTCTCTCTCTCTCTCTCTTGCGCTAACTCGCCTGCCTCTAACGCTGCTATAAACGTTATTGAATGTAATCAACGGACCCAGGAAATTAGCTAGACTAGCGACCATCTTGCTTGCATTAGTGCCTGAAACATCCGATACTACCGAACAAGGAAACATATAGCTAGCTCTACGACACTTAAGCAGCACAGGCGGTTATGTCAACCTCATGTTTTCAGCAATTGTTGAAATCCAATGATCTGGAAATATTCGTAGGAAAAAGATAAACTCATTAACCTAGTTACAATTAGAAAACCTGACTGGAAAATAGCCACAAGACGACACAAAGATGAAAACATGAAGACTTGACAATGTTATTATGGACAGGACTACAACTAAACTGATCCATGAGTTTAGTGAACATGTGGGGGGTGAACTGTTTTATTTTTCTTACTAAGGTGTACATCAGCATTGTTATATTTTACACATTTCTCATAATCAAAAGATAAGAACCTTCTGGTCGACCGATACAAATACGGGGCTCCTTTTTGATGAGGCCTGTGCTCCAACCCTCGGTAAGGTGATGAGATGGTTGCTGTCAGTTGCAAAAATGAATCCCCGCCCAGCACGGTACGTGACATCTGCACTAGCCGTGAGGTTCTGATTGCTCAGACTACAAGATGACCCTTCTGCCCTGAACCGCACTACAAGGTTGTCTAAATGCAGTCCAGCAGTTGTATGAGTGGAGTCAATCAGACCACAGAACAGCCTGTCACAGAAGTCACAGAAGTTTTTGAAACTACCCACCAACGCGTAACTTGATTGACTAACAGACAAGTATCATCATACTGGGCCTTCGTTTGCTGATGAGTTACTGTAGGTTTCATCCAATCACTGATCAGAAAACGTATAACAGAATGCTGTTCCTCTTTGATGCATGTTAAAGGTAAAGTGGCAATCTTTTCACTGTCATTCTTACGTCACGGTGTTCACCAGCACCACGAAATCATTTGCTTAACACTCTTGACATTCTTAATAATAATATTGACAGGTAACAATACAATGGCAGGTATTAATTTAAGCTCCCTGAAATATTTCTGTTTTAAATGTCCCAGTACCTGACTTGCCTTTGCATATTTTGTCTCTCTCTCTCTCTCTCTCTCTCTCTCTCTCTCTGTGTGTGTGTGTGTGTGTGTGTGTATGTGTGTGTGTGAGTGTCTGTGAAATACAAATTGACCGTGGATATTTAAAGTATTAGAATTCATTTGGTTCTTATATTCTTGTAATCCCAAACTGTGAAAGTTATCAAATTCCTGCCCGTATCCATCTACCAGGGCGCATAATCTGCACATCCCAGAGAGCCAAGTACATCACAGCTATAGTATCAACATTAGCCATTTTGTGTACTGTGCCAGAATTCTGGGAAATGGAAGTTGTGTACAGGAGAGTCCACAACCAGACAGAAGCTAGCGCTGTGTACACAAACCTGGCTGGCAGACCCAGCTATGAGATCGGCTACTACTGGTTCCTGGTGTCCATGTTCACCCTGTTGCCGCTGATCCTCCTGTGTGTCTTCAACGGAGTGCTCATCCGTACAGTCGTCAAAGCTGCCCAGCTGAGGAGAGAGATGACACTGATAGCACCTGTCAGGTACAGTACCATCGTCAGCTTCAAACTTTAGTGCCAAGCAACGCAGCTTACCTTGTTTAATTACTCTGTACACAGCATTTGTTCGCTAATTTATATTGTTCGACTTTCGACTGCGCTGTTAATTACATTACCCTACATCTCAATTTTTATTTAACCCCTTCATGCACGTAGTAGTAGTAGTAGTAGTAGTAGTAGTAGTAGTAGTAGTAGTAGTAGTAGTAGTAGTAGTAGTAGTAGTAGTAGTAGTAGTAGTAGTAGTAGTAGTAGTAGTAGTAGTAGTAGTAGTAGTAGTAGTAGTAGTAGTAGTAGTAGTAGTAGCAGCAGTACTAATAGTAGCGGTAGTATAGATTGTTACAAAGTAAACAGTCCTTGGTATTGAAAGTTTTAGTAACAACTGCCTATAAATGGTCGAGAAATCAATCCAATGAACTATGACTAAAAAGCTTAATGAAATGGGGAAGCAGAACAAATTGTACAACAAAAAACAAATCGACGTTTTGGCCGGGGCCTTTCTCCATATTGACAGGACTACATTTCAATAACAATGGGGAAAGTACTCAAACAACAAAAGGGTCACAAGAAAAAGTTTTTTTTTTTGTTTTATGTTTGTAAAGAAGAAAATAAAATATAAGAAAGGCTCGAAAAAGAGTCCTAAAAGTAATAGTAATAAAATATCAGGATAGTAGGTATAAAAGTAGTAGGACAGCACTTCATTTTTGGGGACTTTGAAATGCTCCTGTACCACATGCAAGACATGTCCTTTCGTTGTCCAGACCTCGTCAGTAAGTTTCCTCAATGGTTCTTTCCAAATTTGGGAACCATTTACTTCAGAATCCCCTGACGTAATTCATGCCATAACCTGCAAGAGATGCAACAAGGCATACGCCGGGGAAACCTGCTGGAAGCAAGCTGATCGATTCCGGGAACATCTCTCTGATATTGAAAAGAAAACCTTTAAACTAATTGTTCTTCATTTAAACGGCTTTAACCACTAAGGCAAAGATGATATCTGTCACAGATATAAATTCTTGTTCTGGTGATCATACCACTCGCCTAGCTTTAGACAATCGCCTCGTCTACAGTCTAGGTGTTCTTAGTCTAGGAGGCATCAATGTCCAGCATATCTTGATCTATATAGTTTTAATATTCCCACATTATATATTTATATATGTATGTGTGTGTTTGTGTGTGTGTGTGTATAATATATATTTTTATATGTATAATATATATTTTTTTTATTATATTTCTGTCATATTTGTTTCAGTCTATCTATTATCAGTACTATTTATGGTTCATCGACATTTGAATTTCTACTACTCTTTTATTCCTATTATCTGTATATATTATCACTATTACTTTTACGACTATTATTCGAGCCTTCCTACCTTTTATTTAATTTTCTTCTTTTTAAAACTTTTTTTCTGGATAGTTTCTCTGGTGACCCCTTTCTTGTTTCCCCTTTCTTATTTAGTGTAGTTCAGTCCATGTGGAGAAAAGCTGGCGCCGAACGGCTGATTTGTTTTGTGTTGTGCACGTTGTTCTGCTTCTCTATTTCGTTAAGCTTTCTAGTCACAGTTCATCAGATTAACTTCTTGGTTTTGGTTTGACTGCAGTCACCTCTATTTTCATCACTTTCTAGGAATGACGGAGTCTTTAGACTAGGTGTTTTCAAAGTAATTTCCCAAATCCCGACATTATGGCCTAAATTCAATCTCTTCATTTATTTATTTTTCTTTAACAGCTCTTCGGAGATCAAACCTCTCGCAATATGTTTTTACTACCCGTCCCCTTGTGGGGTAAAAATGTTTGTGATTTGAAGCCCACCCTGGCTTTTGTAAGGGGCCCTGAATATAGCTGGCCCACAATTGTGGCCATAACGGCTGAAAGGGGTTTCAGGGACCTCTCCAAGAGTGATTCTCATCCGCATGGTGGCACTTTGTGTCACCAGGGGTTTATCGCTTGTTTGATGTCCTGGTGGGGTAAAACAAGCAAGCAAGCGAACCTTCTCGTTGTTGTTAGTTGGTTAGTTGCAGTCAAGGTCTATGTTTTACAATGATATCACTTAATTTACTGAGCACTTTAGCTGCCGACCCCTTTCATATCGACAACAGTATGAACATCAACGGTTTAGATCCCCTGAGTGACGGTATCGGTGTTCTTCTAGCCTATTCCACCCACCTCTGGCCGGTTCGTTAAGCCTTCCAACTTTTACTTTGTGTTTAGTAAATACATACATAATTATGGCCTGAAATTGGGGAATGCCCAACTGTCTCACCAGTGATAAAGTGCAGACAAGGGTGACTGACTAGGTTCATGGGATTAGATCACTATGATAATTAAAATTCTAAATGAGAAACCGAAAACTATTTTACGCTTTACATAACTGGAAAATATGTTCAAACATAAAGCTGAACAATGGGGACATTTCAAATAGCTTAGTCAGAGAGGCTGCAGAAACAGACATCTCTAAACATAAGAGAGATCATAAGAAACTGATGACCGACAGCGCGTTAAAACTAAATGAGAAAGGAAGAAACTTCAGGAAAAGAAGACGTAAAAATGCAACTTAATCAATCGATGAATTATAATAATTATGTAAAGACAATAAAGACTCATAGCATGCACACAAATTGACAACAGCTTTAGATCTAAAATTATAAACGTTAACTAAACATAATTAATGATCTCGCCATTTTGAAAAAGATACTTGTAAACCAAACAAGAAAACATTATTGTAGTAAAGAGTCGGAAAAGAAACTGAATAAAAGATTTCATCGAAATACTTTCAAGAAGAGTTCGATGTTATTATTAAAAATGACTAATCATCGATACCAAACATAGCTTCTAAACCTAAACGTTGTAACCTCAGGGTGAGGTGCACTGTGGCCTTCCACCTCCCCAGTCGACCTCCCACACCTTGAAATTTGTAGACAGACTGAAAGCTGCTCTCTCCTCACCCTGTTTCACTAAGTATTGATGTCCTCTTCCTAAGCATTTCTTCATCAATTTGAAATTTTTTGAAATACACTGTCTTACTTATTTGCTATTCAGCAGATACTTTAAAATAATGTTAACTATTATTATTTCACGCTTCAACAAGGTCTAAGCCTGTTTCGTCCCCTCTCAAAAAAATTATAACAGGATCAAATTCCCCCCCCCCCGCCGCCCCCCCCCGGCCCCCCCCCCCCCATAGAAAACATTTGGTTGTAGCAGTGCACCTGATGTGAAGAGTATCTTCTTCTTATAGGTTTTTCATCGTCGTCGCTTTCCTCATAATGATCATCATCGTCATTATCATCATCATCATCATCATTACCTGAGGCATCTTCTTCTTCTTTGTCTTTTTCTTCTTCTTCTTCTTCTTCTTCTTCTTCTTCTTCTTCTTCTTCTTCTTCTTCTTCTTCTTCTTCTTCTTCTTCTTCTTCTTCTTCTTCTTCTTCTTCTTCTTCTTCTTCTTCTTCTTCTTCTTCTTCTTCTTCTTCTTCTTCTTCTTCTTCTTCTTCTTCTTCTTCTTCTTCTTCTTCTTCTTCTTCTTCTTCTTCTTCTTCTTCTTCTTCTTCTTCTTCTTCTTCTTCTTTTTCCTTTTCTTCTTCTTATATTACTATTATTAATATTCTTATTATTAACGTGAATGCGTAAATGCTGTGTGATGTTACTCACCATGTATATTGACAACATTCTGTTACATGTTTTGCTATTCGGCTTGATGTTACTGTTCCTCCATACAATGATGCCAAACTAACGTGTCTTCCCTAGCTTCTCGTTCCTTCTGTTTTCCTCTTGTAACGAAGCGATCCAGCTTTACCCTTCTAAAGAATATTCCCAGATGATATTTTACTCATAAAAAATATCTCAGATCTTTAACCAGTCTACACTGGGAGAATCTTGATTAGACTATGACATCGGGTTACTAAACTCAATTTTGATATCAGAGACATTTTCCAAACTATCTAGAATTTGTGTTTATTACAATATGAAATAAATAAAGCATTAGGAACTACACAAAATGATTATCCCAAACAATAAGCAGAATCAGTAAGACCCTCACGCCTTCCCCCGCACCACCCACTCCCTCAAAAAAAAAAAAAAAATATTAATAAGATCGTGCGCAGAAGCAACATTCAAGAAAAAGACACCCCAGTCGGAAATAGAAAAGGAAAACATTGTGCTGTGTGTGTGTTTGTGTGTGTGTTTGTGTGTTGTTGTTTTTTTTTTTTAAATATAGCTCTACACTACATCACATTTAGATTGCTTTCTCTGGTCCAGTAAGTCATATTGGCCATCGCCATGTTTTGTAAGTCCTATGTCTCCATTCAGCACAGTGAAATAACTGTTCTTGTGATCAACCCAGGGCCCCATTTTGGGGAAAAAGGGAATTGCCTCACTGCTTTCTAACAACATGTCGTAAACAGCGACTATTTATGTATTTGCTGGAATCTGATGTGCTCGGCCAAAAGGCTCAGATATAACTGTGAATGCGCCAATCGCCCTCTTCAGGACGAACACAGAACAGTCAGCAGTCTACAGTATTGTCGCTAATATCACCGCTTTTAGTTTCTTTAAAATATCATTTTATTTTCTTTTTAAGGTTCAGATCCTACTGCGAGTCAGATCTGTTTTAAAATAATACATAATAGGAGGTGCCAGGGAAAGGTTGTCAACATAACAGTCATTGATAGAGTGAGAAACGATGCCATCAGATCGATATCGTTGGAACAACACTTTGAAAACAGATGGTCGAAAGGCAGAAATAAAATGGTTTGGGTCTGTTATTAGAATACAGCTACAATTATAAAATAGACGCTGTAAATGATCTAAAATGAAAACAAGAGGACACCAACGGAGACGATGGACTGAATGATGACATTAAACACTTTATGCATCCACACGAACTGATAATCGTCAAAGGTATGCGTCGAGCGTTGGAACACAAACTGCTCCTGCTCAGAGTGATTCATGGCAAAAGTGGAAATTGATGATGATGATGTTAGAATGATGTTGATGATGTTGTTAAAGATGTTGATCATGATGGTAACACTAATAATTATTAAAAAACTCCCCATTCTCCTTTTAATATTTGAGGTATTATTTTCCATTGTTCTTCAAAAACTGTTTCGAGTCAATATGTTTGTGCTTCACCTTATCTCTCAACACAGACAGTCGTGTGAAAACAACCGCAGCAGAAACACAAACAACTCTAACAACAGAGTCGGACGTAATCATTCCGGAGAACAGCAGAAGATCACAAAGATGTTGATTACTGTGGTTCTTGCATTCATCGTCTGCCAGCTTCCTGGAGCTCTCCTGCTTCTGGTCAAAACGTATGATGCATGGGCTGGAGTACAGCTGTCTATGTAGGTAAACAATCTATTACACATTGCTGCATATCTGCTATTCTTATTCTTTTACTCGTTCATCCATATGGTTCTGTTCTTGTTGTTACAAATCAACGCTTGTCTATTTAATCAGGTGTCATTCTTGTTTGCTCATTCACCTGATTACCTAACCTTGCAGATGAACCCGTTCTGAGTCTTACATACTTAGCTCTGCTGTCAGGCAGTTCCTGCACAATCCTTTGCTTACCTGTTTTTTTTCTTTAATGGTTTCATTTCTCTTCTGCTAAATCACTAGCTAAATTGATCCATTAGATTATCTCAGATACTTTTCTGTTACTTTGCCATAATGTAATCAACTAACAATGTAAGACTTGAACAATGGATTTAAAAAAAAAAAATGGGGTGGAAAAAAAGGGCGGGGGGAGGGGGGATTTAACTTTAGAACTGAACTAGTTCGTATCCCCATCAAGAACGACTTTTTATAGATAATATTATTAGGATAACATTAGAACACACCAGTTGAAGTGGTTTCGCAATCAGACTTTAATGTCAGCAGACATCACATCTCAATGACGAATAATGAACAGATCAAGTTAAAACAAAAAGCAGGCGCCCCTGTTTAACGATGGACAGGAGGAAAAACAGTAAAACGGTATTCCGCCTAAAGAATGAACACAACCGCACTCTTTCGCTATTGTATATTTCAGTTCAACAGCGCCAGCAGCAATAGGACCATGATGCGATGAGACGTCTCCTTTAGGCATTCGCTTTGAAACTTCTGGCATCGAACAATATAAAGTGGTACAGCACAGATAAGTCTCTAGGACTTTCTTTCTCAATGACCAATGCATACGAGCGTAAAAGTACTAGATGACATATATTTGAATGCTAATTTGTTGTAACCAACAAGCAAACGGAATTTCTTACAGGGTCAAGAAACTAAATTAGAGTTAATCAACGCTAATTTAAATTACTGCAGGCATTGAAGCTAAAGATTTCAAATAGGTATGGGGGGAAAGTGGTATACCTATACAGCCGGAAAACCGAATGGGAAGAGACGTCGAAAGAGACCAAGAAGGTAAATACAGAACAGTTTAGCAATATAGTATGGAATTTATTTGTGTCAGAAACAATTAAATATGCGCGACACGAAAGTCTGAACACAGACGTGACTACCAACGCCATTCGACATTAACTTTAAGAAGAATAGATGTATAGTCTTTGGATACACAACAAAAGACACACTCGCATATTGTAGTTTGTTTTGTATATTTTTAAGTTAAACATTTTGACACCTATTATGATGCAGAGTACTGTCTTGTGATGACCAATCACCACACTCAAATATGGTCCAGATTTTGGTATTACCATTACTATGTTTTATTACCTTGATTTCTGTATTACAATATTGACACACTGTTCCCCAGAGAGAAAAAGACACATCTCAAAATCGCAGGAAACATCACCAACTTGCTGATCCAGGCAAACGCTTCCATCAACTTCATCCTCTACTCCGCCATCAGCACCAAGTTCAGGCGCGTGTTCTACCACATCATGTGCAGGAGGAGGTGTTTATGCCAGAGTCAGGACATAGCCCAGGCAGCGTTCTCCAGAACTGATGGCGTACAGATGTCTTCATTCTATGGTAAAGTGCTATTATAACCTATCAAACTTTGGGTTGTATCTATGCCCGTCCTCTTCATTATTTTTATGGAGCTTTCTAGTCAAAGTTTGAGTTGCACGTAGTATTGCATGTATTTGGAGCTTTATCATGTCTAGAGTGCATTATTATTATTTTTTTTTTTTTTATACATTTAAAAACAATTTAAAAGTGTCTTTGTTTGCTGCGTTAATCAAATATAGTTGTAAGAAAAAGTCGAGTCTGAGTGTATTCAGCGGTCAGTCGAACATATAACAGTAAGTTATTACAAATACGTCTTTTGGTTTATGTCAAGTGAACCTTTAACGGCATAAACAAAGTAAAAAATATGCTTGCTACATGCCTGCATTGTGCACGATGACACTGTTACGTGTGAACGCTATCAATTACTAGTACTACAATACAAGATACACTCAACAGCCAAGCGACAACGAGGACAATATCACAGGATACTCTCCAGAAATATCAGGGAAAAGTAGAGTATGACAGACCTGGCACAAATCACACACATATGAAAACAAATATGTATTTCACTGAACGCAAATAAAGACGCCGCCTCTCTGGTGGCTGGGGGGGGGGGGGGGGGGGGGGGTGTGTCAGAAACGGAGACGACAGCTGCCTTAGCCCTCATAATTCACAAGAAGATATTAATGGAATGGCTAATGGTTCCGTAAATTATATGAGGTCTCAAGTTGAAAGAGAAATTGTAGAATAGGGTATTTGTGTCTTTAGACAAGAAGAGGCTTCTAAAGAAGTGTATGTGACCTCAGTGATGAAGATAAAGTGTAGAATACAGTGCATCTGACCACCGACATAAAGAAACGTTTTAATACAGAAAATAAACCGCCTATACACGAGAATTTCGACAGTGGTATCAGGGAGCCGACCGTCCAGTAGGCAATGACAAACTACTGGAAGTAAATTTGCCTAGAGAAACCACACAACAGCTAGGGGCTGCTGGCGTTGGTTCTGCAACGTCCTGTAAAGGATACGCAACTAACTAATACACGAGAAATTGTAGTACAGAATTCATGCGGCCTGAAATATCAAGAGAATGGACGTGCCCAGAGTTCTTTGACGATAACCCAAATCATAACTCATAACACGAAGAGAAATTATGTAAAACAAAAAAAGACTTTGTGAACGTGTTTTTCTATAAACAAAACCAACGGTACTGTGGAGATCACGATATGTTGACTGTGCGACACACACAAGCTGGTAAAATGGCATAGTTTGGTACTGAATACTGACGAAAGAATCTACATCATTTCCTATGCGCAATACAGACAGATGTTCCGTCTGATACAGCAACTGCCTAATGAGTGGATGTTGTTTTCTTCTAACAGCACACTCTATGTAAACACATGAATTGAACTGAATTTCTACCCCACCAGGACATCACACAAGCGATAAACACCCGATGACACAAAGTGCCACCATGTGGATGAGGATCGCCGTGGAGAGGTCCCAGAAACCGCGTTCAGACATTTGGCCATATATATGGCCTGCCTATATCGAGGCCCCTGGCAAAAGCCAGAGTAGGGCTTCAAATGACAAAAAATTTCGTCCTAAAAAGGACGAAATTGGATATATATGTAAACACATGTCCTTCTTTGCCATATATACTTAGTCTGATAACGCCCGCTTTAAATGTCAATCTTTCTGAATGCAAGCTGCTGTGTGTTGTTTTTTTTCTGTCTGCCAGGAGACAAGGCTGGAAGCAAAGCGACGACCGTGTCAAGCTACACTTTCAGGATCAGAGTCTCCCAGCGGTCATCAAGAACACAAGTAGGCCATGGTCAGTCAGAAAAAGATACATCTTCGGCGTCGTGGCAACAATTGGGTGGGCAGGTTAGGCAAGATGGAAAGAATACTCCAAAACAAAACAGCGACAACGACAATAACTATCTCTTGAACTGCAGCCATCTACAGACAGGGAAAAATAACGTCCACAAATTGAACAATGTCGCAACTACAGATTTCAATTGTCCATGCGGTAAAAGGAATAATTTATATTTCATCTGGAAGATGTGAGTTTGAATGGAGTAACCCTGGCCGTGACTGCAATTGAACACCCACCTAAACATTTAAAGTCTACACAATGCCGTGCTGGGCATGTATGGCTAGACCTATGTTTTATAGACCAATCGGCATTTGGTGGGTGATGTGGTCAGCATCACGCCAGCCGCCTTTATTTCCCAGGGACTGTACCTGGCATAAATGCTGGGTCGACCTGGTAACCAAGGTCACTTTAAAAAACAAACTAGGTGAGGACGCGAACCCACGACCTCCCGATCTGCAGGAGAGCCGCTACAGCGATCTAAAGTCTACATAAAATTTCAACAGATGTGGTAAGAGCAATTTAAATATCTCATCTCCTTTAAAAAAAAAAGTGTAAGTGGTAGGGCATAGCAAGGGTTTCCGCTGCTAGTGTCGGATCTACCAAGAGTGCTCTATTATTCTTTACTCCCTGTATTGAATGAAGACTGGGCATCTCACGACAACAGAATTACAGCCATATGGCAAGTGCAATCACAAAGGATTGTGCAGTTTAGATTTGTGTGTGTGTATGTGTTTATGTATGTGTCCTTGACAGTTAGTTATTATTATATAATGTTTAGACTCAAGGCCATGGTATTATTATTTTACACTGTACAGAACTGTGCTGTGCGGTATAGTTACGTGTATGCATAAATATATATATATAAATGAATTTAATTAACTAAATTAAATGCATTCTAGATAAAATCAATTGCTATGTGAATTAACAGTAGAGTGAAATGTAACAATGAACCAGCATGCCCAGTTTGTTTCCCTAAGAAACCAAAAGTTCGTTTCCTCAATAGTTCCCATATTCAAACTAATGAAGCGTTCGTCTGCGATTCGTGCAACCTGTTTTAAGCGCAAGGTGAAAATGGCGTAAATTCACACAACAGGGCAGGAGTTGACTGGATTATCGTTTCATAATCTAATAGGCAACTGTTGTGGTGCTCCAAATCAGTCGCTTTCTGTTTCAAAAGAACAACTGAGATGTAGTTGACATTTACTCACTAAATAACATTTAAAAAAGGTGAGTTCACTGCAACCTCTGGTTGAGCCACAACTCCTACGATTCACCTTTTGTTATTATTATTACTTTTTTTTAGCCATCGGTCACGCCTTTATTTTGTAAGAAAGCAAGATAAGCTCCGCGAAGAACAATTGACAAGACTTGCAAATGTACAATAATAGTAGCAATGTTAATTACAGACTCACCGAGATACATCAGTGAACGAGTGATCCACTGTGTTGAAAGGTGTAAGTCATTGAGTTGGTGCCAGTGGGGTGACTTAATATGTCCTAAGGATACTTAACGCCTTTCCAAGGAACATCGGTGAAGACTTACTAAGGAGAGCATGTGAACATTTTGCTACTTACACTAAGCGACTAAAGAAGTCCCAAAGGAGAAAGATATCGAAAGATTTAAGGTGTCGTAGAGAGAGTATCACATCTTACCAAAGAACTTCAGTAAAGGGTTTACCAAGATCAGTATGCAACTTGAGAATTGTCTCGAGGAAGACATCGAGCGATTTAATGTGTACCAAGACAGTGAACGCATTACAAAAGACATAGCCAGCGCTTAGATCGCTCGAGAATAGTAGTTGAATTACTACGAAAGTTCAGTGAACGACTTACTGTAACGTAAAACCATTGAACAACTAAAAGTTACCAAGGAACCTCGGTGCACAACTTAGAAAGGCTCGAGGCCAAGTTGTTAGGAATATTGTGCGACTTTTGATGTCTCTCGGCCCAAACCACCCCTCCCCCACCCCCTCTCGAACAGGTCAACATGACGACTCAGCCCTCTCCCTGGACATCTATATCTAACATTGTGACATGACACTAACCTAATTTACCCGATTTATAATTAGTTCGATAATACGTAATAGCACCATTTTCCCCAGGGGCCCTAATACCCTACATTTGAATAGCCAGCACATGTGATGGCCGCTATGAGCACCTGCACATATAATAGTGATATAACACCAACTCCCTTCGTCATAACTTTTTTTTGGGGTACTCTGTTTAAAGTCATGTCATTCCTCATATGCAGTGACGCTCAATGACTCCTAAATACCTTCATGTAACTAGCTGATATGACAACTTGAGTCGCTTACTGCGCCACCTGCACCTACAACCTCGGTACAACACACACTTCATTCGATCAAAATTTTCACTTTTTCCTCTACAAAAGACATACAGTGACCCCTCAATGCCCCTTAAACCCTCACATGTAAGTAGCAAACATTACACATTGAACTACTAACAATTAACACCGTTACATGACACCCACTCCTTTGCCATATTTGTAAAAACTTTTTACACAAAGTCATATCACCATGTGTCCTGGAGGACTAGATAAACCTTGAAGCCGCTCCTGTAATTAGTTGACACGACAGCTTAAACCCCTGGTGATCTACCGGCACCTGATCTAATAAAACAACACCCGCTCATTTGCCCACAATTTTCATGTTGAGCTTATTTAAAGTCATAGCACCATATGCTTAGGAGATCTTAATGACGCCTGCTTCAATATGGCTTGTCTGTAGATAATCGCCTATCACCACCTTGTTGAAAACTACCATAATCACAGCTCATCAGCTAACAATCGACACCATAACAGACCCTGGAGAGACATGATCACCCTCGCCTGTCGACACGATACTTAATGTTCCTGATGATGCTTCTGCTTGACTACAAACCACCCCAAGCCTAATTTGACAGCCACCCCATCATAAATTGTATATATTTTACTACAAAACGCATACACTTTTGATCACTACCGCCCCCCCCCCCCCCCCAAAACGAAGCCAACCCTCATCCTATATTCTTCTATATAACTTATGCAAGTCTAGTGTTATATCTCTCTATTTTATTGCTTTTAAATATTTCTACTATATAACATAATACTTTCTATATAACTATATACTTTATTTCCCCCCGCCGCCATGCCAGATTTGGA